TGTCATTTCCTGGGGATTTCCACTTTTGGAATTTCGTTAGAGCTTGCCTAACATCATCTGTGGATATATTTTCCCATTCTTGCAGAGGTGTATCCAGCATTCGTTCTTCTTCGCGCCGGATCCATTCTGCATTTGGGTTACATTCCTTTGGGCTGCTCCAAATATTTTCCCAAAATGTCTGTACATTATCAATCGATGGTGGCGTTTCGACATGTATAGGTGTTTTTCCAATTTCCCTGTAAAATTTCTTAAGATCTGTTCGGAATATTTTATTTTGGCGAGAGAACCTACAACGTTTTTCGTATCGTCTTGTTCTCTGCGCCTTTAGCTGCAGTTTCTGCTTCAGCATTTCCTTGATTGATGGAATTATCAATTAGGGATTTAATGTTATATTTCCGCTTGATCTTTTTGCATTTACGTGTGGAAATATTAGGGTTTCTGGTGAGCTCATCTAATACAGAAAGCTCACATCTGATTTGTTTTATTTCTCGAATCAGTTTGGTTTTCCAAGCTGGTTCACTGTGTCTGTTAATTTTATTTATTGTCTTGACCCCAAGCTTCCGAGTCGCTGCTAAAGCTGTTGCGTATATGACGTTGTTAACTTCTGTGATGTTTCCTGGTGGTTTATCTGTTAACAGTGTTTCCAGAGCAGCATTGTATATTTTCACGATGTGCTTGTTGGAATTCGTCATATGGATTTTCGGGAGCTTGTCTCTGTCTGACAATTGTATGAAAGTTACTCTGCCGAGTACTTGGATGACGTCATTTTTCGCTTCGGTGATTTCAGCTTCGTGATTTTCAAAGAATTCTAACTTATTGTCACTGAAGATGACTCCAGATACATTTTCTGGAGAACTGCAGGTTGTGTTTAAGGTAGAGTCTTGGGTTTCATTTCCTGGGAGATTATTTCGTATTTCATTCGCTTTAGCGTCCACCTCATCCTCTGTTGCATTCCTTATTTCTACATTCGTCTCAATAGAGTTTGAGTGATGGGTCATAGTATTTTGTCTTATATCTAATTTTATCTTATCTATTTCTGCCTTTGAGAGTCTGTTGTTTCGCATGATGTCCCTACGAACATTGGCAAGCATGTTTGGATTGAGGTTAGGTCTTATATAATTTCCCACCGTACTTCTCCACATTTGGTATGTTTGATTGGTGGTGTTCTTTGCTGGGTTTTCGAGTGCAGTGAAGAAGGACTTGTCGGTACTCTTCGCTGCTCCATTTCGTTCGTTTACTTTTTACTAGTCGATTTGGTATTGAGTCACTTGGTCCAAGGTTGGCAATAATCCAGGTTTGGTGACCAAGTGTCTTTTCGTGTGTGGAAGAGTTTGACCTCAGACTGGTTCCTCTCTGAGCGACGCGGCCCTTGTTGTCCCGGTTGACGGCCGATCCGGTATGAAGTATTATTCGTATTCATTGAAATTGGTAGAGTTGCGTTTTAACCTTGACCGCTATGGGGTAATTATGTTCAGGTTACCAGCTATAGGGCAAGTCTCGAAGAAGATCCGAGAGCACGCCCCCCACTCAAAAAATGAGATTGTGGATTTATTACTATACGAAGGTAGAATAGTTCATAAGAGTGTATGGTATTCAGTGGGGGAGACGATACTAAGTTTTAACTTAGTATAAGTCGGAGTGACTACTCCAAGGGGGATAAATAGATTTTATTATATAGACTTTAAAAAAAAAGGGAAAGAGAAAAGGGAACTAAAAAGGAAAGAATTATCTTGGGTCAAAAGACTTTAGAATCATATCAAACTACAGGAAAAGTATCATTCAAAAATGGTACATTTACCATTTCTCACAAGTTCGGAGCATGGCAAAAGTGACTTTTTATTATTATTATTATTATTATTATTATTATTATTATTATTTCATGTCTGTGACGAAACTTTAAATAAAAGTGAAACATGTTAGATTAATAAACATTCCCTATTTGTTCCTTATCTTATTACATATATATATATATATATATATATATATATATATATATATATATATATATATATATATATAGTTGAATGGATATGAGTTTGTAACCCAGGGTCACAAAATCATATCCATACAACTAAATATGTTAGTTCTATCACTGATATTGAGCGCTTTCCAATAAGCACCGCGCGTATATATAAAATATATAGAAATATATATATATATATATATATATATATATATATATATATATATATGTATGTATGTATGTATGTATGTATGTATGTACTTGTAAATAAAAGCGATCCCCAAAGATAAAATGCATTATTTTAAAAGTGAAAAATCTTTCTTAAATTTGATATTTCCGAATTTAAATTAATTGGAATGATTTTTTCTGGTTATCAGTAATATCGATAAAATCCTTCATATTCACAAATCTGTCAAAACAATATAGTTCTAATTTATAAAAAAAAAAAAAATTTTCAAAAATAAAATATACTTTTCGGAAACGATATTTGAGAAAAATTAGCAGATTTAAAGTTTAATTAATCTAATCTTAAAGAAGTGTAACTTTTAGTTTAAAATATAGAAACAAAGCCTTTTTTTAACACGTGGGTGGGTGTTTTATAAGGCATTGACATTTATCGAGAGTTTGATGATTGACAAAATTATCTAAGGAGAAGATAATCGTAATAAAATTGTATGACGAATACAACGGAAATCATTTTTTATATAAGTTTTTCTTTTTAAACTAACCAGTAATTTTAAAAAAATTTTATTCATTCAACTGTTTTATTGAATTTTAGTTATTTCAGCTTTATATTCTTACTTACGAAAAGACTTTTTGAGAGAATGTTAGAAAATTATCAATTAATTTAGAATTTACTATAGTTACTACTCTTATTTTTGATAATGTCGTGTATGGATGTCCGTATTTACAAAAAAAATCGGTACGTTCATACACACATAAAAAAAAATTCAAAATTGTTTTTAAAATAATGCGTCTTGTTGATTTGTAGTAAAATTTACACTTATGATTAGTAAATATAGTTTCTATTTAATAAAAATATCAGTTGACCGCTACAAAATTAATACAGAATTATAAAAGAATATAAAAAATGTAGAAATTATCATAATTAAAAATAAAAATATGTTAACAATTCTTGTAAAAAATTCTTTAGGCACCGAAAAATAATTGTGTCCATAATATATTTCATTCATAAAATCAATGAAAAGTTTAAAAGTTTTCTAATTAAATAATGTCTTAGTTTTATTGCATTTTTTTTATTTTACGATTCAGAGCAGATTTTCGGTAAATATGGGGTCCTGTTTGACAAAAAAAAAAAAAAAATTGATGATCTAAATTCTCCGAGGACTTGTTCTTATAACTAATATAAAGCGCTATTAAGCGCTACAAAAAAAAATTTCTTGAGATTTCATAGAATTAAATAATTGTGCAGTAACATATGTGAGAAAAAAAAAATACCAAGATTTTCTAAGAAAAATTTTTTTACCAAGATTTTAAAAAAAAAAAAAAAACTTTTAAAAATAATTTAATTCATTTGCAAATAAGTCCGGAAGGTTTTATTAAAATCTGCCGATGATTTGACTTTTGCAAGAATTTCAAAATCAAAGTATTTTTCACCCTTCAAATTTCCCGTAAAAGTTTTCCTATGTTGACGCAAGAAAAACTATTTTTACCATAATTTCGAAGGTTCTAAAATGGATTAAAAATAATAGATTTTACATAAAAAAAATATCCTTTGGTCTTTCCACTTAATAATGACACAAAGATTTTTATTTCGTGATGTTTTGCGACGATTTTCTTTTGTACAATAAAAATTTTTATAGCTTGGAAGTAAATTTAAGAATAATTAAAATTAATTGCGAAATCCAGCGAAAGTCACTCATGAAATAAAAATAATTATTTCTACGGAAATTAAGGACCTACATACACCAAATTGTTTTTAAATTAAGTGGCGACAGAAGAATTATCGTTGAGCTTTTAAAATGTTAGCTTAAATATTAATCCAATACTTAAATGCAGCGATCAATTTTGAGTTCTCCTGTAGTTTATTGTTGCCTATCGTATCTACTCCTCCCTGACTATTGTGATGAAGGCCCAATCAAGAGCCCTCTGCAGGAGCTAGCTTAAATGCCGCCTGATTGGCGACTTTTAAGCTAGTATATATATATATATATATATATATATATATATACAAAGAAATAATCACGCATAAAATCAATCAGCAATATTATTGCTATTATTGGCGACATCCATCGCTAGTAGTGTATAATATATCCATTAAAATACTGTTAATCCATAGAGTGATGTGATCCTTATTTATAAAACTGTTGTCTGTTGTTTCCAGTTTATATTTTTTTTAAATGCAAGTACTTTCGAATAATCCTTTATTCATCGTCAGGCATATCTTTTCCTTATAAAATCAAAAACTTGGAGACGAAATAATTGTTTGTAGATCGAAAGATGTTTTGTTTTTGTTTTTTTTGAGAATGTGCTATTATTGTCGGTTGTGTATAATATCGGAACGTGAAAAGATTATTTCTTTGTATATAAATTATATGCTGCCTAATGTTATATATATATATATATATATATATATATATAAATATAAAAGTGAACATAGAAGTCAACACTTAGAGGCGACAGTCTGTTTCACGCTATATGCAATCGTCAGGCCTATGTTCACTTTTATATTTACACACGCTCTATCTCTGATATCGAGCACTTTATCCCATAAATATAGCACACCTTAAGACTATATTTCTTCATATATATATATATATATATATATATATATAATGCAATATTTCTTTTAAAAATATAAATAAGAAGACACGTTCTCATAAAAATTTGTAACACTAATTATTTTCTCGGTGAAAACACATCCTCGGCTCGTAGCAGATCAAACTTCTTCTTTCTTAATGTGCTGTGTCCGCTCAGGATATAGGCGATCATGACCCTCCACAACTTCCTCTTCCTTGTAGCTCGTAATAAATTTTGTCTTTTTACTATTTCTCCTGAAGCTTGTTCTGCAATCGATTCACTCAAGCTCACTATGTAGCGTATTATGAGAGACAGAGAAGGCGGGGAAGAGAGGGAAATAAGAAAAGGGAGAAAGGAAGGGGTGAGAGAGTAAGCGGAGGGGGGAGGGAGAGACGGTGCATTCAGTTTTAACAGACTGTCGAGGAGATCAGCGATGCGTGGCCAGTGTTATGGTTATCTGCACTGAAAGTAAAACAGGTGAGTCGAGTTCAAATAACTCCGGTCGATTCTGTTTTCATTTACTTTGTGTTAATGCCCTGGAAAAAAAGCATGAATCCACTTTTCCCCCAGATATGGGTTAAATAGCAGAGAAGACTTTATTGCATCGGGGTGGCTACCAACCCACGAGAAAGAAAACTGAATTGAAGATGGATGGACTCAGTCAGGCTATCTTGCCTTAGTCCCACTATTGCGGCTATGGATGCAGCACATGTGGCGCCCCAACGACTCTATTAGGTTATGAGACTCTATACGTCATGAGACGTGTAAGGACGTTGTTATTTACAAACATTAGCCTAGTCTGGCGCAAGGCCAAGGTAATGTAGCATAGAGGACCAACTTCCCTATTAGTCTCAACACAACTTTATATGCGCTACGAATGGTACCAGGATCTTATAGACACATAAGATGTTGTTTCTTTGGACTTGGGGAAGCGTTTGACGCTACTGTAAGCATCAAGTACAGGTATACCTCGAGTTACGTCGTTTCGAGTTAAGTCGTTCTTGATTATACGTCGTTTGTCAAAAAAGATATATGGTAAAAAAAAAATCAAGTTTAAGTCATTTTATTCGACTTTACGTCTGTCCGCCACAAATATTGAAGTCGTAATATTACTAGCGTCAAATACGCATAAAATCATGTTACTGTGCAATAAATAAGAATAAATAAAAGTATATAAAATCATATTAAAATACGTACATCTACGTCTGCGATGTAAATAAAAATATTGAATGTAAATATTGGTAATTTTAACACAAATTAGTTTATTTTCTACTATCGCAAAATAATTTTAATAACTGTATTTGTTATTTAACCTTACAAAATCATTTTATTTTATAATGTCTTACAGCAAAGCATATTCACAAATAATGAGTCTGCGATGTACTGTAAATTGTAAACATCTACATTTACAAGTATAAACGTACATATATTCGTAAATTTAGATTACTTTTTTTCTGTACTATATTAAAAATTAATATTTATTTGATTGTAAGCTTAAAATGGATTCTTATTGACCATATATTATTAAAAATGCCTTTATAAATAAAATACAGAACTGGGAATAGTTATTTGTTGCTTAGCCTAGTGACAAGTAAATTCGGAGACAAGTAAATTCGACTTAAGTCATTTTTTTTTTACTTAAGTCGCCTACCCTGGAACAAATTACCAACGTAAGATGAGGTATAACTGTAGATGTTTCAGATTCCTTGGCTATGTTTGGTTCTACTATGGGTGATGCGATTTTGGTAAGTGACTTCGGTGGTGTGTTTTTGCTTACCTTGGGTGAAGAATAGAGTTTAACACCACTTTAGGTACCAGGAGACTGTTTATATTTCGGAAGCAAAACAGTGTTTCACGCTTTATGGTTCATTGAATAATATGAGATATAAATTACTGATAAAAAAATAGAAGTTTAAATATTTGGGAAGTGTTTTAACAGATAATGAAAAATGTGACACCGAAATCCGAAGTCGCATTGTAATTGTAAAAGACACCGTAGAATCACTAAACAAAGTATTAAGATACAGGAAAATTTCGTTAGAAAGAAAAGAATAATTGCTGAATAATTATATAATATCGGTCCTCCTATATGGCAGTGAATGCTGGACAATTTCCTCATAGATTAAGAAAAGACAATAGAGATGTGTTTATACACAAGGATGCTGAGAATACCATTGATGAAACTTGTAAGCAGCGAGGAAGTTTTAAGGAAAATGGACACACTTATTCTTAGAATTAGAAAGCCAGTTGAAATTTCTAAGACACATAATAAGAAAAGAAGACATGGAGAATTTGAAACTCACAGTTACCTACCTGATGTAATGGAATAACCTGTCACCCCCACCATAAGTGATTAGACTATAGGTAGTAACTACTTATAAGTATCGGTGAATCAACGGACTACAGAGTCTAGCTGGGATTTGTTGAGTACGACTCAGACTTACGCGAGAAATACTGACCTTCCAATAGTAGCACTCATTACTGGATTGACTTGCGACGACCTTGTGCATAACTGTTACCTTTATTCTTATTGTACTGGCTTTTTACAATAAACCTTTACTTATTTTATCCACCGTGTTTGCCAAGTATATATTCCTATTAGCACGGAATATAACACTACCTAAGGAGCTTCTGAGAATGGATGACAGAATAAGGAGTTAGAGGCATTTCTTTTCATTCTACAACACAGCCCGGCAACGCAGTTCATTGATAACTCTATATTCTTTTCAGTGGGTGTATAGTACGCAGCTCGAGAGGGCTACATACTGGTATTTGAATTCAGAGTTTTCCTTCTCCTAGACTGGTTGCCTTCCAATGCGCAAGAGTCAAGTCTGTCCTGCAATTTAACCCATATCGGTTGGGGATGGATTCATACCTTACACAAGGGTATTTATGTGAAAAAAAAAATAATAGAACACACTCGACCGGAAAGGACTACAAAGGATGAAGATGTTGAGGAGAGTCATGACCGTATTTGTCTTGAAGACACTTTTTAACTATCATGTTTTGGGCATTTGGGGGATGGTAGAATAGGGAATGGAAGGGATATTAAAAATATAAACATTGCAGTTAAACAGTTATAAAGGATAGGAAGTTGTGAAGAGCCATATTCGCCCATTTCCTGAAGGGACAAGGTAAACAGAAGAAGTTTCACTCCACAATCAAATAAAATTTCGACAATAAGAAGGAGGAGGAGGAGGAGGGGGAGGGTAGGAGAAAAAAGAAGGAGGGGAGGGTAGGAGAAAGAAAAGGAAAGAAAGAGAAGGAAGGAGGAGGGTATGAAGAAAGAAAAGAGGAGGAGGAGGAGAGAAAGAAGGAGGAGGAGGGGAATGAGAAAGAAAGAAGAAGAAGAAGGAGGAGGGGGGAAATAAGAAGGAGGAGGAAGAAAGGAGGAGGAGGAGGGGTAGGGAAAGAAGGAGGAGGGGTAGGAGAAAAGAAAAGGAGGAGAGGGGTAGAAGAAAGAAGAAGGAGGAGGAGGAGGAGGGGTAGGAGAAAGAAGATGAAGAAGAAGGAGGAGGAAGAGGAAGACGGGGGTGGGGAGAATAAGAAATTCTTCTTTCGCTTTATTATCGAATAAAATTTAGAGATAAAAAAGGATGTGGTTAGCGTAACAGTCATCGGCGCGTAAAGTAAAAATGGGCGAAACAAGTTCAAATTCCAGCCTACTCTTCTCCCATGTCTAATAAGTCAATGCAAAAGGTCTAATAACTTGTGGGGGTTAGAAATTTCTTGCGAATTTTTAGTTTGGACGTCAAAATAATTTGGCACCGTTAGCGTCTTCCGCTCTAGTGTATAAGTCGAGGTGGAAGCATGAAGTATAAAAAAAGCTTCATGGGTCCTAATCAAGCTCGTTGGAGGCAGTGTTTAAGTCACGGGTCTGTGAGTAAGAATTTGCACACTAAAATTGGTTCAGATCATTTTCACAGTGGGGATAAATAATTTTCTGTGGGCAGACTCCCCCGCCCCGTTGACGACAGGTTTAGTCGTAATAAATGGATGTAGTTAGTACTAAAGTAAAAAAAAAAAGTAAGGAAACATGGTCCTCCATATTTATTAAGATTAGTTTACTGCATTCACTTTCACACAAATGTCATTGGGAAAGGCATAATTCCCGTTCTTGTACCCTCAACTATAGGTTAAATATTAGGTTAGATTGTGTTACGGGACCTTACCCATAAAAACATAATAGACTATTCAATACGTAATAAATACTGAGCGAGTCAGTCAGTCGAGTCAGAGGCAGTCCGAAACAGAGTCACTTTCAGACAATTACTACTAAACCTGATTGTTCGTACTAACACTTTCTACTTCTCTGTATATATTCCTGTTTGTAATATATCTGTGTTATTCCATATCCGTGTTCGAGTTCTTCTTTATTGCTTCTACGTTGGGCTATCACTGTGGTACAAGAATCGGACCATAACAGATTGTCTCACTGGTCTTAGATGCTTATTAGTCTCGAAGGAAAAGTCCGAATTCGAAATTCCTATAGAAGGCAACAGAAAACTATTTTGCTCAAGAAGCCAATGGCAATCACATATAATAAAGAAAAGGTGCAAAGCCATGCCCTAATTTCTTATAAAGACATACAGCGAAGACTACTTATATAGTGAAACAGTGGTTCATATTTATACAAACATTCATTGGCTTTGTTTTATATAGCGGACCCTCTTATATGAAGACACAATGGTCCATTTTTACTTTTACAGTAATTGTTCGGATGAGCTTTTCGCTCAAGACTTTTTGAATTTAAGTGCAGTACTAGATTGGCGGAGAGGTCTCATAAATTTACAGTTGAATTGGTTAGATGTAACCGTAAATTCTATGCTAACAGTTTCTTTTCTCGCGCTTCTCGCTTGTTAAACTCCCGGGTCCATGCTTTCCAGACAACTTTAATCTTCAAAAACTTAAATGCAATGTCAATTGCTATCTACTGTCCTCTTGATTACTCTTCTTTTGTTCTCACTCCTTAATGATGGTTCTGTTCCTAATTCTTCCATACCCTGTAACCCTTTGTATTGTAGTGGCTTTACTCCCTTGCAAAAACTTAAATGCAATGTCAATTGCTATCTACTGTCCTCTTGATTACTCTTCTTTTGTTCTCACTCCTTAGTAAAGTTTCTTTTTCTAATTCTTCCACACCCTGTAGCTCCTTGTGTCTTGGTAGCTTTACTGAATTGCTTGGTGTGAACTTGTTGACAAAAATATAGAACCGTAAGTTCTATTCTAAGCGTTTCTTCTTTCCCATTTCTCGCTTGTAAAATTCTCTTCCGGCCTCTTGCTTTCCAGTCATCTTCGATCTTCAAATGTTTAAATGCAATGTTTATCGTTATCTTTTGTCTTTTCGCATATTCTTTCACACTAGGTGACCTTTTGTGTCTTAGTGGCTTTATTGCCTTGCTTAGCGTGTAATGATTAAAAGTATAATAGATTTTAAAAATTGACAAATTAGGTACAAAAAGAAATTAACAATAAAACAGTAATTAATAAGAAATGAAAACAATCCTCACAATACACCTATAGTAAAAACTAGCAGCAGAGCCCGGCGTAACAGTAAGAGATAGATCAAGTATCGACCATCATAAAGACTGAAAAATAAAATTGACAAATATTATTGTTTAAGGTTGACGGACACGCATGTCTTAATTAGTTTTTTTTTTTTTTTTTTTTTACACGAATTGGTCAAACCCAAACTCAAACAAAACCATTGTTTTCAATCGTTATGAGTCTACCGATTCAATAGAATTTTATTATAAACAATTGTCTTGTAAATGGAATTTTTAAAGCATTTTGAATGTAAAAATAAATAAAAAAAAGTGTGCAAGATAATAAGAAACACTACCTGCCAAAAAAAAGTGAAGTTTTGTTGAAATCGGTTGAAAAATGTAGGAAATGGAAATGGAAAAACATCTGCCTCTGTTTCACAGATTACACAAAAGTATTTGATATGACATGAAGAACTACTTTAAAAGTCAGAAAGGCCTGAACTACATGAAAAAGATATTAGTATAATCTATAATCCCGACTGGGAACCGTATTCATGCAGACAGAAAACGAAGTTAAACAACGTCGATCTTAGTCAGTACCATAATGGGTAACCACCTGTGAATACTAGGTGCTGTAAGCTTGAATATACGGGGGTTATTCCTTACGGACATATGACGTTGAAACATTGGTTCCCGTACGATCATCGAAGTTAAGCAACGTCGTGCCTGGTCAGTACCTAGATGGGTGATCACTTAGGAATATCAGGTACTGTAAGCTTGGATGCGCGTGTGGGGTAATGGATAATGACTCGAAATTGTTAATCAGATAGCCGAGTTCCAATTCCAGTTGGGTTTGTTATTTTCACTTCCTTGGGGAAGGTATAAATCCGCCTCTTTTCCCCCAGCTATGGGTTAATTATTAAGATGTGTATCACTAAATCCTTGCAATCTAAAATTATTTTCTGGCTTTAAATAACCTACAAAGTGTTAATAAGCCGTAAAAAAAGAATCAATTTATATTAACTGTAAGAAGACAAATTGCGTAGTTATCAGAAAAGGAACACTCTAAGTTACAAGCTACATTTTGTGGATGTCAAAATCAAATATAGTAAAAGACGGCGGAATGTGTGAAACAGAAATCCGAAGGATTATGAGAATAGTGAATGATGCCTTTCAGAAACTAAGCAAAATATTAAGAGATAGGAAAAATTCATTGGAAACAAAGAAAAGAGTCATGAACTATGTAATATCTAATCTCCTTTACGGCAGTGACAGCTGGGGAAGCTCTTCATGAAAAGAGATTTGAAACAAGAAAAATGTGGATATATATATCGATGAATCGTGAGAATACCATGGAGAGAATATGTGAACAATGAGGAAGTTTTAAAGAGAATAAGAATTACAAAGAAACTGATGCTAACAATAATAAAAAAGATATGAAATATCTGGTACGTATCATGAAGAAAGAGGGTCTGGAGAATATAACACTCACAGGATAAAATGAAGGAAAGGGGGCGGGAAAAACTTTGTATAACCTATTTAACTACTTTGCGTGAATGGGTGGCAGAACAAAAGAAAAAGGAATGGTAAGGCGACAGAAGATGCTTAAAGCAACAAAAGACAAGAAGTTGTGGAGAGACATCCACGTCCTAAAAAGAAATGGCGTAAAAGAAGATGAATCGAAGAATCGTTCTTAATATTGAACGTTGTAAGTTCAGCTTAGATTTTTTTTTCATCTTCCTTTATTAAGTTGAGAATGTTCACTATTTCACTTATGCTACCCAAGGCGTGTATAGCGTCTCCTCGGGGTGCAATGGTTGGCCCACAACGGATACCACAGGACATTCGAAGATGGTACTAAATTCAAGAAATAGTAATTCAGTGTTCCTAGGCACTAGTGAAGGTCGATTTTGGAATCATGTCATTGCACTCAACTTGAAAAGCTGTGCTTTGACATTATAAATAATGATACAAATTATTATTTTTTTTTACAAATCGTTACCGTTTTTTGAGGAAGTGAGTTTAAAGATTAAGTTTAGGTTCAAAATTGTAGCGTTGTAGTTTAATTCCGGTGAGGCAATTCTACCGGGATTTAGCATTAGCGGCCACAAATTTAACAAAATAAGATACGCAGATGACACAGTACTGATAGCAGATACCGAAAAGCAATTACAAAACCTCCTACAGAAGGACTAAGCATAAACTACAAGAAGACAGAATGCATGGTCATCAGTAAGGGGAAGAGCCCAAAATGCGATTTGCAGGTCGGGAACACTAGAATCAAGCAGATGCATAAGTTTAAATATTTGGGAAAGCGTCTTGACAGAAGACGGTAAGTGCAACACTGAGATCAGTAGACGTATTGGCCAAGGACACATTCCAAAAGATGGGCAGAGTATTGCGAAACAGGAGGATTTCTTTGGTAACAAAAGAAAAGAGCTGTTACGTGACACCTGTTCTTCTTTACGGCAGCGAATGTTGGACGATTTCCTCAAGGATGAAGAAGAGACTCGAGGCGACGGAGATGTGGTTCTACAGAAGGATGCTAAGGATATCATGGACCGAGCATTTGAGCAACAATGAGGTCTTAGATAGGTTACAAACAACGAGAAGGCTTATACTTAACATCAGGCAGAGGCAGCTGAAGTTTCTGGGACACATAATGAGGAAGGAGGGCCTGGAGAATCTGATACTCCCGGGTCGAATAGAGGGAAAGAAAGACAAAGGAAAGCAGCGCGTGACATATCTGGCGAGATTGAGCAAGTGGAGGACAGAACGTGGTCTGGGGGAGGAAGCAGAGGGAAGGAACTTGTTGAGAGCTGCAAGGGATAGAAAGAGGTGGAGAGCCATGATCGCCTACGTCCTAAAAGGATATGGCACATAAAAAGAAAAAGAAAGATCAGTGAAAGCCTTATAGCACGGCCTTATAAAATTGATAATTTACTGAAGCTTTACAAATTGTGTATATGCATGACGCAAGACACACGAACACACTAAGTCATTGTGCCATCAAATAAGACCAACATTTACTTCAAAAGAAATTACGTATTCTGAACAATTTAGTTGTATTATGATGAAATGTGTTATAATACAATGCAATGTAATAATTTGTGCGCAGCCGTAATATGGCGTTATATATACACAATTATTTTTCGGTGCCTAAAGATTTTTTTACAAGAATTGTTAACATATTTTTTATTTTATAATTCTGTATTAATTTATAGCGGTCAACTGATATTTTTTATTAAATAGAAACTATATTTACTAATCATAAGTGTAAAATTTTACTACAAATCAACAAGACGCATTATTTTAAAAACAATTTTGAATTTTTTTTATGTGTGTATGAACGTACCGATTTTTTTGTAAATACGGACATCCATACACGACATTATCAAAAATAAGAGTAGTAACTATAGTAAATTCTAAATTAATTGATAATTTTCAAAAAGTCTCTTCGTAAGTAAGAATATAAAGCTGAAATAACTAAAATTCAATAAAACAGTTGAATGAATAAAAATTTTTTAAAATTACTGGTTAGTTTAAAAAGAAAAACTTATATAAAAAATGATTTCCGTTGTATTCGTCATACAATTTTATTACGATTATCTTCTCCTTAGATAATTTTCTCAATCATCAAACTCTCGATAAATGTCAATGCCTTATAAAACACCCACCCACGTGTTAAAAAAAGGCTTTGCTTCTATATTTTAAACTAAAAGTTATACTTCTTTAAGATTAGATTAATTAAACTTTTTTGGTCTTTATTAATTATGATCTAATAAATGATCAGACAAATCTTATTCATTGAGCAGTAGTTTTTGTAATCTTTTACAATTTTTTACACTGTTTTTACTTAGCGAATACAGTAAAAAAATGCATATTTTGCTTGTGGTGATTCGTAATTAGAATTCTGGTTTGAATATATTTTCCATTCATAGATACATTTTAGATACACTAAAAGAAAAAAGATCAACTTTATTTGAATTTATTCTTAAAATAGTAAAATTCTTTGTGGAATCGACTCCCAAGAGGATGTTCGATATTGGCTTCTTCAGTTGGAAAAAAAATGTATGTGAGGAAAAATGCCTTGGGATCTCGGAAAGCACGTGGCCTGATATAGGCTTGAATATAGTCTGTTTGCCTCTATGTTTTATGAATATGTTTTATCTGGAGAAGCCAAAGTGAACATACGCCTTCTACGGCGAAACGCGTCATTGATAACATTTTTCCACTTTGTCTCATCGTCAGTGAATGCTGGCAATGTCTTCACAGATGAAGAGAAAACTGGAACCATCAGAAATGTGGTTCCTTAAAAGAAAATCATGGACAGAACGCGTAAGCAACCCAGAATCCTCAAGAAAAATGGTAACAAAAAACAAAAAAGGAAACTTGTATTCAGAATCAGTAGTAGATAGGTAAAATTACTTGTGAAAATGAAGGAGGAGGATTTAGAACATTTGACACTCGCAAGGGCAAAAGAGACAGGGGGAAACAACGGGTCAGCTACCTGACGAGCTTGTGTGAACGGAGGGGGCGTTGAGTCTTGGCGAAGGGACACATATTGCTAAGAACTACAAGGGATGGGAGTTTGTGGAGAGCAATGATCGTCCACATCTTGAAGGGACACGGAACAAGAAAGAAGCACATGTGAGTTATACGGCCACCTTGTAATTCGAAACGTAGACATTTAGCAGTTTGGACACTTCGACGTGGTTTAAAGGTTAAGATTGTCTTTCTTAGATCAATTACGACTGAATATTGAATTCTATTCACACTGAGCGCTCCACACATCCAGCCTTGTGCCACATCTAAGCTATGCTTAGAAAATCATTTTTGGGCACTCCGACGTCGTTGCTAGAAAGTTTGTCCTTGCTAGATCAATTACGACTGAGTAGTGAATTTGATCCTCACTGGGTGCTCCACACATTCAGACTTGTGCCACATCTATGCCACGCTGAGAAAATCATTTTGGGCACTCCCACTGGGTGTCTGTACTTTAGGCCTTGTACCACATCTAAGCTACGCTTAGAAAATCATTTGGACACTTCAACCTAGTTAGCGAGCTAAGCCAATTACGACTGAGGAGTGAGTTCGTTCCTCACTTGGTGCTCCATATTTTAGACCTTATGGGAGCCTAATTTTTTTCGACCTTGTGCCACACTTATGATACGATTAGTAAATCACCATAGATATTTAGCAGTTTTAAAATCAATTGCCAAAATTATCTTCGGCTGATACAAAATGACGGAAGGCGTTTTTATTTATTTACTTTATTTACTTATTCCTATTTTGACAAATTGCTTACGTACTTAACAGATGAGAAACTCACTCAATTATTCACGAGAAAACATCATGTTGAAATCGCTGTTGGCCTGGCGAATACAGTTTTTACCAGACACATGGGATATATTTCCCTTCTCCCTGCGTCTTTTGACAGACATATGGGAACAGATTGCTTCAAAATATGCACTTTATAACGAGATCCAACAGCATTTTTAGCTTATCTGGACCTCATCCAGACAGAGTTTATATTTTAGATATTTATTTATTTAATAATAGTACGGAGGGATGTTGAAAAATTCTCAACTCGACTCACTTGCCAAAATCTGACTAACCGTGCGACGATAGCCTAGGGGTAGGATATCTGACTGATGTGAAATCGGTCGTGTTTCGATCCCGGCTTGAAGCAATCGAACGTCTAGACACACTGAAGAGCTGTGATACAGCGAAACAGTCTGTCTGTGAATGGCTATATATATATATATATAGGCAATATATCTTCATTCAAGTATGTTTCATTAGATTAAATAATACAGACATATTATGTCTATTCATTTTTATAATAATCCTCATTATCTTCTTGATGTTAAGTTGAAATTCATCAAGGAAGGAAACGTAGTTTTTGTTAACCCAATTACTTTCGATCTCCTCCGAAATCATCATCTGTGTGAATTGCGAAGACAAACCTAATGTAAGTATATATATATATATATATATATATATATATATATATATATATATATATATATAGAGAGAGAGAGAGAGAGAGAGAGATAAATATAGATATAGATATATGCCTGAAGTTGGAGTTACACATTAAAGTCTATAGAAGTGCATGGTAGATAACACAATTGTATGTTTCTTTCTGGGCCGTGGGAAACAACGCCAGACAAAAATTAGATCTATGTCACCAACATGCACTGAGTTGAATTTAATAAGCATGTCACGCGCGTGCGCGTGTGTCTGCATTATTGGGGTAGGGTAGGGTGGAGGAGTTGTCAGAGCGGAAGGAATCTTACCATATATATATATATATATATATATATATATATATATATATATATATAGTTACTTAAATGTTATTTTTAGTGGATGCTCATATTTGAGTAGAAATATAGCATATCATAACCACACACACACACGCATACTCATATATATATATATATATATATATATATATATATATATATATATATATATAATTCCAATATAAATAAACCACAGAATCACTTTTGATTAACACAATATCCCGTCACCATCATCATCATCATCATCAGCCCCATGACAAGATGCAGACGATGATAGGATAAGAAAAGATAAAGAACAAAGAGGAAACGTTTGAATTTAACGTATCGCTTTTATTAATGCTTCATCAAAAAATGAAATATGAAATATGGAGGAGAAATAAAAGATTTTTATTTGTATTTTTCTTCTTCGAATTTTATATTTCATTTTCTGATGAAGCATTAATAAAAGCGAAACATGTTAAAATCATAAACGTTTGTTCTTTCTGCCACTGTTTAGTCAGATTCCATTCCATCCATACTTAGTCTATATTTGCT